AATGGAACCTGTTCCTAACTGGACCTAACCTGCGAGGTTTTCGTTGATTGGCTAGGTCTTTCCTGCCGCCGGACGGTCTCCAAACATAGAAAAAACCTATTGGCTAGGTGTTTCCGGCCACCAGACGGACTCCAAATATAGAAAAAAACCTAGCAGATCAATGAAAACCTTGCAGGTTAGGTCCAGTTAGGAACAGGTTCCATTAAAAATTCCTGCTGGCGACCGCCAAGAACGGATTTCAGATTCTTAATCTACACCCCAAAAACATATAATTAAAAATACACCCTTTTTTTGGATGCACTTAATCTAAAGTAAATAAGTAATACCTGGCCCATTGCCACTATTCTTTACACACTGGAAGCAGAAGCCAGATCATTTCAATAATGAATAAAACTACAAAGTAACTTAAAAATAATAGTAAAAAATAATACTATATTAGGAAAAAACGGGATTTAGGACCAAGTGGCAGGTGTTCTTGCTCTAGCTCTAGCACTACTAGCCTAGGTACCCAGTATGGAATTCTGTATAGGTAATATATTATCATGTTAACAAAAGAAAATGTATCGAAAAATTTACCACCTTACACCTTCCACCGAAGTGACAATTAATACTCTTACACTGAGCTCGTCAGAAACTGCGGACACCCGGACAGCTGCACTTCCTTTAACTCGCTTGCGTGTGGTTCGAAAACTGATAAAAAGTCTGCGACTCTTCCCTCCAATACATACACTAGTTGTGTATCCGTATCGACAAATTTTGTAATGAATATGTTTCAAAATAAAAATAAAAATAATGTAAACTTTCGCAGAAAATTTTCACGATTTCACCAATACCAACAAATTTCTCGAATCCATACGGAATGATGGGATAAACTGCTAATCTTTCACAGCATATGGCAACATTGTGTTGACTGTTGACATTAGACAAGACAGTGTCAGACACCTTGTTTTGGTCTTGTAAAGTTCAATTTCATAATAAATAGATTTGATCCACATTTCACAGTGACATTTAAATGATAGAAAATTGTTTCAAAATTTAAACACCAATTGATACGCTTCTAAATACAAATTTATTCATGTTTTTGCCCTATAATGTCGAATTTGTCTTAATAACTTCACTTCACTTCAAATCCTGAATGATTTTGTCTCCCATGGCAAGTTTTCGAACGTCTTGAGTCTTTTAGAGAATGTTGGTTGTTTATAAGCAGTAATTATTTTATTTCAATGAACCAAAGAAAGTTTAGTCATCGAAATGACAAAATCATTAAATTTAAAATATTAAGTTATATGAGTGAGATCATCAATTATCACAGAAGCTGTAAATTATCAAAGAGCTGTTTTTGATGTAAAAGAATGTTTTTAATTTAAAAGGAATCAATACTTAATTTTCAGAAAAACGATGCAAAAATTAATGATCCCTATTAGAATTCAACAGACGCAACTCATTCAGAATTAAATTGAAAAAGTTGGTACCTATTTGAAATTTATGATTTTACAAATTGCTTAATTGAATGCAGTGCAGAAATTCAAGATCAAATATGAGTATGAATTTAAGTCTCATGACTGGAGATCTCAAAATTTATTGTACTACCACGTATGTTTGATACATAACCTTTTTGTCCTTTGATGAACAGAGTTTATTTAGGTTCTATTGACTGTAATAGGTAGAACGATGCGACATATTTGCGGCCATCCAACGATCGGTTGACGGCTTTGACTCTTGATACCACTGTACAAATATTGCGGTGGACACATCTTCCAGAAGTTTCAATGCAAAGATTCTTATTTAAAGGATAATAAATCGATTTGTAGTTGTTTACTCGAATTACTCCCACCTATAGATATAAATGAACATTATTCAATTTATTTAAACATTTTTTCATGAATTCGCATTAAAAAATTCATTTTGAAATCAACCATGTCAAAGTAACGAAATAATTTGTTATAGTTTTAGGCTTCCGAAAATATTTCAAAATTCAAATCTCTATCAGAAATATCATAATTAATCATTCTCTTGAATTGAGTATATTAATGTTATGAACAGTGCCGCCGCTGACGCGATCGTAATTCATTTTCGTAGTTGCATGCCGGGTGCCTGCTTTTGTTCTTCTATTTAGTCTCGCTCCCATGAATTGCGTGTTTAGTATGTGCATCATGGAAAAGTCTGCTTGACAGCGTAGGGTAAATGCGGTATATTCCAACATCGTGGGTAATTCCGTCACCTCTCTAGTTTTTCCTTTATATTAAGCTTTGTTTTAGTTCCATGCGTTTGTTGATGGTTGAAATGGTGATGTCATACATTTGCGCATCGAACTACTGCCAAAACACTAGGTCTTGGCCATCTAGTGGGAAAATATTGAGATCCAAAGAGAGACAATGCACGCTACCCAGTGAGATCATCGAAAAATGTGTCAAATTTGACAGTTGACCTTGCCAAATAGTGAATAACTGTTTGTATAGGAAGAATATTATGGTTTGAGACTTTTAAATATGTCTGTGAATATATTAGGAATCCTTTAAGTACAGCAATCCCTTGATTAGCACGGTTTTGAATACCGCGGTTTTGATTAACGCGGAAAAAAAATTTGCGACCTACCCTTAATCTACGCGGTGCCAGTTTTGATTCGCGGACTTTTTTTTTCACAACGCATCATTTTCCCGCCTCTAGCCAGAGGTGTTACGTTCGTAACAAAAGTGTTACTTTTTGCTTATTAGATCTTATGTTGTTACTTTGTTACGACTTTTGGAAAAATTCGCCAAATGTTGTTACTTTATGAATTTCAGCCAATAATTCTTTAAATAAGGTCCCGTTCCGTAGGCACTCGTGCTGACTACAGAGTCGGTTTAACCGCGCCTTGTCTTGTTCATAACTCGAATGGTCGAGTTTGGCAACGTTCGCCGGTAAGTGCGCCATGCCGGTGCTCTAGCCCTTTAAGCCCTGGTGTGACGAATTCGTCACACAGAAAATAAAAGCTTCTACCGAGAGTAATTACATGTTTGGAGTCTAGTCGCGAGTGTGACGGTAGCGTCACATGTTGTGACTTGTGAACTCGTTCGAACGACGTTCGATGGAGTAGGCGCGTCGCTACTGCCAGTTTAACACAAAGACTGCGCGTGATCTGAAAAGTAATTCAGATTGTTTTTTCACTTTCGAAACATAATTCAGTGCGTAAAGGGCTAGTTACTTGTTAGCCTTCAACTGGTCAAGATTGCTGCCATATATACTGCTCACTTTTATCAAACTACATAATTTTCCTTTCCTTTGCTATTTTTGAGGATTCATTATAATTATTCCCATATATTCTTAAGTTTGATTAGCGCGGTTTTGCTTAACACGGTAAAACTCGGGGATTTATTAACCGCGTTAATCAAGGGATTGCTGTATACTTGTATTTGCTGATTTCAAGTGGTAAATAAATTAATAGAGATTAAGTTGAGAAATGGATTTAGACACATGAAAACTAATTCTGTCACAACTTGAATTGGACACACACAGATCGTTCCAAGCTATGTACAAAAATTAAAATTTGCTTAATTAAAATCTTAATAGTTGTTAATTAAAAGCGTAATTAAGTAGTGTTCAATATTCATTAGTGTTCTAATTCAAAGCCGTGTTGTATTCCAATACAGCTCACACAGCAAACGGAATTCAAACACGTGGATGACGGCATTACGTATCAGTAGAATTTGAAGCGCGGACGGAAAACGCCTCACCACGTGCCGAATATTGCCACGCACAGTGTCGGAATATAGGGATTTGGTAGGTTTGCATTCTAAAGGCTTTTAAATAAATATGGCAACATTTTGTGATGTTTCATCGTTGCTGGCATGTACATAGTGGCAAAGCAGAGTTTTTTAGACTCTCCCTCAAGTTCATTTTTGAGTCCTACATGTAGACCATTAAAGTATCCTGGATACCAGCATTATCATACTTAAGAAATTGGTTTAAATCTTGAGTAAATGAGGAAATTAAAAATTAACCGATTCTAAAAAAGCTCTGGTTTGCCACTATGGGCGTGTAGTACGGTGTTTTGCGAGTCACATAAAGCAAACAGAACTCGAGTAACGCATATGGTTATTTTTTCATAGTTTTTCATTTCTCGATGCGTCCTTAATGTGTTGGAATATGCCGCGTTTACCCTAGTCACGGTAGCTGTAATTAGGGTAAACGCGGTATATTCCGACATCGTAGGTAATTCCATCACCTCTCCAGCTTTTCCTTTATATTAAGCTTTGTTTTAGTTCCATGCGTTTGTTCATGGTTGAAATGGTGACGTCATGCATTTGCGAGTCAAAATACTGCCAAAACATTTTTATAGATATTAAAAATTTAGGCTCTATGACTTGTATACTATCACTATGTCTATCACAGTCTATAGGATTTTGAATCGCTGCATGCATTCAAATTCAAATTAGGTCCACCCACACCCCACGGCCAGTGTAGCTGTCAGCTCACCTTCTTCAGAAGTGTGAAAGCTTTTGCCGGTGAAGGTGTGTTTTACGATCGGCCCATAAAGAAGTGTTGATCGGTTCAAAATGACATAAGAACAGGTTCTTTTGAATAACCTATGGATTGGCACATTATTGTCGGAATATACCGCGTTTACCCTACCTCTACAGGCTCTAGGCTCTACCTCTAGAATAGAAAAATCTTTCCATTTCTAGGCTATTTCATAAAAAGTTAAATATTTGACATATTTCTAATTTGATACTACTAGCAATGTAGCAAACATTACACTACAACAATAAAAACTTATAAAATGTTCAAATAACAAATTATTCAAAATTTTAATACCCACCATCAGATTAATAGCTAAGAATAAGTTCAGCATCAGCATCAGGCACTTCAATTGACTGGAAAAACAGTCGGACGCAAACCTCAAGTAAATTGTAAAATGTAAATATAATCGCATTACACACTTATTTGAACATGGGCATAAAAAATTGCTGATGAAAATATACTTCACACGATCTGAATTAGCCTAGTTCTCGATATCTTACCTTTTCTTCGTTTATCTCGGTTTTGGATGAAGTTTTTGTAACACAGTCTTTCAAAGTATGTTCGTTTAGGAGACACGATTTCTCATCTTCAGCCATAATGACAATACAACATACTTTTTAAATATAAGTTTACATGTTCATTTTTGCATTAGGGTTATTATTTATTCGAAAAACTATAATTAACCTAAGTTAACATTAGAATTGAGGTGTGACAACACAAATTTTGCAAGATGCGCGTGACAGCTCACACATAGTTGTTATTACCTCTCTTCTTGACTACGTCGTCTCAGGTGAATACAGAAGAGAAGGTTTATGAGAATTTCTACGAAAATTTGAAAAAATGGGAAAATTCCCACTAAATATTCCAATTTCACATCACATTCCATATTATTTATTTATTAAACCTGTAAAATATATTCATCATTGCTGAACAAGACAACAATTTCTCTTTCCTCCAATTTTATTGCAAAATTATTAGGAATAAAAAGTGTGGTTGCAGGCAAATAGTGCAAATTGAAATTGACACATCTGTAGAACTATAATCGCTAATGACGATGTTGCCAAAATTTCCCTAAAGAATGCTGATACCCTCGTAAATTTGCAAAAGCGAAAGCTGTTGATATTATGTATTCTTTTACATCGTTAGGAAATGTAGGTAAAATTGCATGAATTTTGGGAACGTAATTAATAAGATACAATGTATCCGAGGACTTTAGCGTAGAAAGTCACCTTATCCTGACCTATGTCCCGCAAGCGAAACGCTTAGCGCCGATTCTTGTGATGCACATTGAACTGAAGGAAAAATATGGACCAAATGAACTCGATGAATTAAGAAAAAACTCGAGGAGGCTTGACGAACACAATGGGATGAAGTCTGCTTAAGCTACCTATTAGAAACATTGTAAAATTCTTTCAATATGTTATTGGATTTTATTCCTACAACCTGCCAGTCAACAAAAACCAATTAGAGCTGCTATTTGACTATTTTTTAACTGGATAACAGAAGAGATTCCAACAAAATTGGCCAGAAATAAGTCCATCATTCGGTGGCTTGAATGAGCCGTCAACGCTCATTCTTCATTCATTACTTAATAGGCCGCGCTATAGCTAAAATTTGCCAAATTAGTGGCTTTAAAATCTAATTAGTATATACAATTATTAGTTTACATAGCAGTGTCAGCGTTGAATAAGAGGTCATTAGACCCATGTTTATACATGTCGCTGATTCTGAAAATCGCACATTCACCAGCATTGTTGTGGGTCTCGAGCTCGCAGTTCACTGCTTCAATATTGCGTTGCTTAACCGCCCGCCCAAGTTGCAGATTTTACTTGTCGCAGGTAGCTGAGATCGAACCCATAGCTCACTGAACTGTACCGCCCGGCCACCCTACCGCAAACTGTTGAATTATCTTCTCTGTGACGGATCATCTTGCTCACACAAAGAATATATTGAATCAATGAACCAGTTATACAAGATTTGAAACCATACAAGTGATGATTTTTCCTTCAACCGACACCTTCGCACTAAGTCAACACATCACGATACTATTCTCTCGAAAAATCGTAATTTGTACGCTCGTGAGGAAATGAGCAACTTACTCGTGAAACATAGATCAAACAACCGACATTCTAGCATTTCTGGAAACGCTGGTCTGGAGATTGTCATGCATGGAAGCCAATATGTTCATGTATATGCTTAAAAGCCATTTACGAGTGGAAAATATTATCGAAAAAATGACTCCACATTATTTTCACACCATAGTTCGGTTTGCCAATCAATAAACGAAGTTAAACTCATCAATGGATTCGAGCTATCAGGAAATGACGAACAAAAAAATTGACTTCCACGGGCAAACTAACTCACCTAAATCTGCCAAAATAATTGGATAAACAATACTCATATTTTCAATGCCCCCCGAAAGGAGGCGCGAGTTTATTTGAATTTACATCATTAACAAACAAAAGCTTGCATACAATTGTACATACTTAAGGAAATAGCAGTCGACAATTAGGTCTCCTCCATGCTAATGAATGCATCAGAACTGGTAGTTCGCACAGCTATAACCAATCAATTGATTAAATTCGATTTTGGAAATTCGTAACAAAGTATTTCCTTCGTGACTAAAGCAGCCCATCAAGAGAAAAACTATTTTAAGTCCATCTGGAGGAATAGGATTCAGAAGAACGATGACACGGTTTTGTGCTCATACGCTAAAGCAGAACCGTTAACAAACTTACACATTTTTCATACGAATATGAAATAAATTCGATCTTTTTACATGATGTCAAGGACTAAAATTGCGAAAGCTTTTCAAGGTATAAATGTGAAATCATTTTTTGATTTTCGTAGATCTAAACGCGTAATCAATGTCCCGCGATTCCTCACTGATAATGAGATGAAACATTGCAAAATTAAAAAACACTTGCGACATCAAAGTATAAAAAGAGTTACAGCAACGAGAAGCAAAGAGAGCATTACTTTCATTTTTTTTCTATAGCTAATTGGATCATAGGTGATTTCGAGGACGACAAACGACTGATTTGGGGAAAAGTAAAATTCAGATTAATTTAAGACCGATTTTCGAAATAATTTTTGTAGCTACAAAAAAACAACAAAAATATCCTTGGAACTAAATGCATTTAACGATATAAATTGATCTTACCCTCACCTCAACATCACACAGAACAGCCCAGCATTCGAGATGTATTCAATCAAGAAAGACGTAACAAGGCAACTCGAATTATTTACACTAAGATGCTGAGGGTATGGGAGACTCTGAAGCGCCTCCTTCCGCTTTGACGGCTTCCACAAGCGTCGCGCTCAGGTAAGTGCGACTGCTCCTGCCCGAGCGTCGCGCTCTGAAGGGTCGCGCTCTGAAGTGCGACTGCTCGTCCTGCTGAGCTTTCTTCCACAAAAGCTGTTACGAGCAAAAAATACAACATCAGAATTGATATCACTAGCCTCGTTGAGTAATTAATTCAGAATTACAAATGGAAAGTCGAAATTTAACACAAAGCTACAATACGAAATGGCCAGAAAACCTGATTCAAATTTGATTAAAGGAAATGCGGATAGAGTTAATTTTGATAGTGATATTTCAAGCAAAGAAAACCCATTATGGAAGCAGATCATAGAACTAACCGTCTTTTTCTTGCGTTCCATTGCAACTTTTGTTCTTTCTAGCATGAGCTCCCTCGTGAGCTCGCCCTTCTCAGTGACGATGGTCTTCATTTGCCAGTCGAGCGCCAGGTGAGCGATCTCACGGCCTGACATGCCCTCCGTCAATTTCGCCACTTCCTTGCAAACTTCAGTCCAGTTCTCACCCTCAACTTTAATGCGCCTGAAAATTGCCAATACAAGATGAGACTCGTACATAATAAAGATTTATGGAGCACACAAATGAGATTATTGGACAATTACAAAATATTAGCTAGTTGTCATTTAAATTCAACACTCACCATTTGCCACTAGAAGCAGGGTTCAGAATATACTCTTGGAAATAGTGGCCAACAAGCAGTGTTCTCTCGTCTAATCCGGGTAGGCCGAACTCGACTGCATCGTGTATTCGGTTGATAACAGCCTCGTCAAATACCGTCGGAATGTTGGAAGTCAGAATCATCATAAACCTGTAGATAATTGCTGATTAGGATAAGATCATAGTTGCCTTATTATCGGAAGGAATAATCCATCAGTAAGCATTCTTTCTCGTCTTTCATATTAATTTGGCTATAAACCACACGAGTTCAAATTTAGAATCCAGAACGTATGTATGCATGCATGCTGCTGAGGCAATAGATATTAAATTGTATTCTCGATGGCCTCTTTAAGATAGAAACTAACGGAGACGGGTTAACACTAAAAATTGCAAATGGCAGAAGGTTGACTAGATTTTTGAAAAACTCTAGCAAGGACGAACCACGTCACAATTGAATCTCCCGTTGCTATCGAACTCACCTATTATTGTGGTCGCCTGTGTGACTGAGGAATGCAGCCATGGTGTCTCGAAGGTTTTGGCTGATGCCAGAGTGACGTCTTATGAGGAAACTCTCAGCCTCGTCAATGAAGAGAATCAAACCTCGACGTGATGTGCGCGCCCACTCAAACAACTGATAAAAAAATAATAAAATAAAATGAAAATTAATGACAACAAGTGTTATAACCTCCTTCAGACACAAGACATCATAAGGCCTACCCAACCTCACGAGAACGCACAATGACGTCGCTTGCGAAATGCTATAATTTTCTAATTTGCATAGTGCCATAGGACCAAAACCGTGAATATGATTAGATCAGGGTTCTTATTACATCTTATACAAAATTTATCATCTACCATTTCTATCTGTACGACTCCCAGTAAGAAAAAATAAAATTCAGCAGAACTTCAATCAGAATAATAAATATTCACAGAGACAGCAGGTATCAGTGCGCTAATTTTACCGGCTAATCAAAATGTGTAGAGCCTGTAGAGAATTCCTGGATTCACCGCTCGAACTGATCACCGTGTAGGCCTCACCTCATGGACGGCGTGCACCTCACCCTAGGGACGGCGTGCACCTCACCCCATGGACGGCGTGTACCTCACCCCATGGACGGCGTGCACCTCACCCCTTGGACGGCGTGCACCTCACCCCTTGGACGGCGTGCGCCTTCAATTATTGATAACATGCACCTTACCTCCCGTATAGCCTACGCCTCACCTTATGGATGGCCTCGACAGACTTGTCGCCCATGAGCTGCACGTCGCCTCCCGTCATGATTGCGAAGTCCATGCCTGAGTTACGGGCAAGTTTCTGTAACGTAAATACAAAGGCTCATAACACCTCGGCCATTTCAATAACACCAATGGTCATTTAAACTTTAAAGTATGATTATTGAGGAATTCCGTATAAAAATATCAGACCAATATGTTGAGCCAATAATGCCTTGTCATAATCAGACCTAAGGTATATCAATGTATTCATAAAAACGCTAGAATATAAATTAATTCTAGCTTGGCCACTTCACCAACTCCAGATGTCATTTGTGAGAGACAAATTATGAAACCATATGGAATAAAAAGACACGACCAATCTAATTCAACAAGACCGTCCCCAAATCTGAAGTGATATTATCCAATAGTCTTATAATGTAGGTATCACAGTGTACTGAATAGCAATGAAGGTTTCCTCAGTTTCCGTGGACTCTAAATAGCGAATCTTCGTAGAACAAAAGACAAGATCATGAAGCTTACCTTAGCAAACATGGTTTTTCCCGTACCAGGAGGACCATGCAGGAGAACATTCCGGTAGATGCCTTTAGCTTTCCTGCAGTTTTTGGTCTCCAATGCAATATCTCTGAAATTAATGGAACATTTTTTTACATCGAATCAGATTTTTTTTATCTATGATTTTAGCATAAAATGATTTGAATATAAAGAACTGATACAAAATGAAAAGGGAAATCTGACTTACAATAATTTTATTAGCGTGCATGTGATATCAGGCGGATAGGGACTAGTCCGAGTCATACGTATGTTACGATTAAATCTTTTCATTAGGAAACTGTTGCTAAGAATGTGTTGATATCCCAGTCAACAAATTTTTGAAATGCAAAATACTCATCGTCAACTTTTATGGTCTAAAATTGATTATTCGGCATGAAAATTGTATCTTATCTGCAATTCAATACTTAGGAAGAGCAGTACCATTATGTTGTTCATAATGTCTAATGTAAAATCTTTTCCAATAGTGATGCATCATAAAATTATATGGACGAGTCTGAAATTGTGACCACACCTGATAGCGGCCTCGACCTTGGGCTTTAATATGACGCCCTGGAGCGTATCTTCGACGCCCTTGAAGCGCCAGACGATTTTCTTGCAGGTGTCAATAGGATGCTTGAGCGTGTCGGTGAGGCTGAGGCGTGACGTCTCCCGTACCAGCGATGGCTTCACTGAGGTCACCAACCAGAGACCATTAATGACCTATTTAATGACCTAATTAATGACCTATTAAACTCCCCTCAGGTTTATCATTCAATTTACTGAAATCCTGTATACAGTGGCAAGCTTCATTAAAACCCAGCAAAATGTGGAAAAAGATATTGCAAGAAAGGCGTGACAAACGGGTGCGATAGCAGGAAAGCAATAATCGAACATTAGGACCGAGTGAGAAAGGATGATATTATCGTGAAAACAGATGCGTGGAATAAACAATGAACGAAAAAGAGAAGGGAAAGCAATGAAAAACATCCCTCAGAAATTAGGGCATTTACAATACCAAATATATCAACCAGCTTTTGTTAACCATTAAATTTATGCGGGAACACAATTTACTTGTAAGAGAAAAGAAAGGAGTCCTAGAGAATTAAAATGATAGATTTACGTAGCTGCCGCCTGAGGCTTTGATACTCGAGAACCTCCGTTTCAATGCAATGCAAGAAGCAGGCCGTGACGCTTTGAAAAGCAAATGTTAACCTCAAGAAATGTCCACCTTAAAACCTCATTCTAAATAGCATGAGATGATGACGGCAAAAGGCATGCATAGAAGCACAGATGAGTGAACATTTTCACAAAAATGTGTACAAGTCTTCTTAAAGTTAAACTTCCAAATATGCAAAAAATTGCAACTAGCAGGCTGAAACTTAACCAAAAATAATTGTCTAAGGTTAGGAAAATAGGTTCTATGAACTGATAACATAGCCTAAGCTCAAAACAAATGACTAAAATTAAATAGCAAGTCAAAGCTAATAAAAATAAGTCTGAAATACTCAGTGGATCCATTATCAATGAAATAAGGTTGACGACTACACAAGATTAACAAAGAAGATCTACTTAATAGTGACTGACCTAGCCTAGCTTCCAAGAACCTGAAGGCCATGGAAAGGGATCCTTTGGCAGCGAAGTATCCTGCCGAGACGGCAACCAGTCCAGCGACTGCCATCCTCACCTGCTGCTCGTCTCCCAGGAACGTGTGCAAACCCTGACCTACGAGAGACCCTATAGACCTGAAACAAAACAAGTTCATGCAATAATATTCTATCTTGAAAGAGATAACCGCCGAGACGATTAGTACTTAACCTCAATGCCCTCCGCAATCAATTGCTGGTCAAATAGTTAAATTATGTTTCTTCTTCTATTTATCTAAAAGTACTGGAATTATAAAGCAGAAATCCAGAACAATCATCTTTAGGATGGGAAAGGAACTAACTTAACTTTCTGTCCTCGATTATTGACTAGTGACAAGAGATTTAAAAGTGAACAATAATACTGCTCGAGGTAAATGCTCTTTCACTTAAGACCTACTATTTGGTTGCAAGAAACCTTCTTTCGAAAGAATCCATAAAATATCAAACGTGCTTAATACTTCGTTACCCCTGGCTTCATCAATGAATATTCAAATAAAGCAAGACACGATCGAAGTTATCTTCAAATATAACACGTCATTCTTAGTAAGGAAATGATCAACACAAGCTGATTGATATCTCAAGTAGGAAATTTGCAATAGTTATCAGAAACAGAGTAGTAAGATACCTACTGCAAAGACTTTGCCCATATTGCACCATTTTTCACTGACACTGTGCCTGAAGGTCAGAAGAGTAGCTTATCTCAATTCATATTTGTCTCCAGTTCTTTAAAGACATTGCAAGTTAAATTTCATAGTGAAAAGTAATGACCTATTAAACTCCCATCAGGTTTTTCATTCAATTTACTGAAATCCTGTATACAGTGACTACCTTCATTAAATACGTCTTAGTTTCCCGTATTCACCCACGGTCGCATGGAATTGGGTGCGTGCAGACCTCCGGTTACGATCTTTAAATCGGTCATACACGCTGCATGCATTTAAACTCTTTTACTAGCGTCAAAAAAAATTAAAAGATCACGTCACACTCGTAAGTTAACTAAAAGTTCAATTAATACGTGTTCACAGCAATCCTAAAATACTAAAACATTTCGTTATGCATGTCAAAAAACAAACAATGTACCAAAAAATTCTGTACGGTCACCTTTGCCTTCCTACCCTTCCCTCTCTCAATCCTCCACTTCTCAAGACCCCAATCTTATCATCCTCCTCATCTCCTTCAACCTCCACAAGTTTTCCAAATAACTCTTCACACTCTTAAACATAGCCGCACTTGCTCCCTCAGACAAACCCACAATCATTGCCATCCACTCTTTACTTGTTCACTCATACCCCACTTCGTTATTCTCACCTCCCTCATTCAGAATCACCTCCATCGTAGACTGTCGCTCTCGCTCATACGCCTCACATTACATCATCAAGTGGCAAGTGCTCCACAGTTTCCTTCTCATCCCCATCACACATAAAACATTTATCTTCCCTCCTCTCATTATACCGGTATGTGCGTCCATTCATACCAAGCGCCCTTGCCCTAACACTAAACAGAAAGTACCCATCTCTACTACCATCATACATGCATATACGTCTTAGTTTCAAGTCATTGCCCACTTTCGCGCTAGACTCGAGTTGTCCTTTAAGAACTCACTTAATCGACTCCAGCCGCGTTTCTCTGTCTTCTTTGGCTTTGAGTCTGATCTGCTCAAGTGTGAGGTCCTGGTTGTCTCTCTCCACCTTGCCCTTGGAGAGCACCTCACGCTCGATGCGCTTCAGATCAAGCTCAGCTCGTTTCTCAAGTTCGTGCTCCAGTGTGGCTGTTAGCGGAAAGATCAAGTTTCAGCATAGATAAATTAGAAAGTTAAATGCTCAAGGCCTATAGAAAACGTGGTCAGTATTGCAAACATATTTTCCCGTCTAAAAGATGAATAAATTAAACTTTGCTTATCTCTTATGGTTGTAATAAAAATCAACTCGCTTGAAGCATGACAGAAAAGACTAATTCGTCTTCATAGTAAAAATTGAACTAGATTACATTGGACTCACTTGATAAATAAATCCTACAGCAGGAGCAATGAATGGTGCAAGAGTAAGTCAGGAAAGCTCGTATAAGTGCATTGCTTAACAAGCAAGCATTATCCAACCAAGTCAAACTAACTCCTTCAATTCTCCAACGGTGAGCTGAACAAGTATTTTGACAACTAGCAAAACTTTCAAGTAGCATTTACTGGAAAGTAAGGAGCTTATAACACCCAAATTTTGCTGGTAACGTCACATGACAGCCGAGTGATGACAAATGAATATGGATAATGCAGCCTGAGAAAGGTTAGTCATTACTAAATGAGCAAAAACAATTTCAAATAATGTTTACCACGGCGCATGGCTTCTTGTTTTTGAACAGACTCCTCCTGCCTTCTCAGATTCTCCTCATTTAACCTGCGCTGTTGCTCAAGCTGATCGTCGTACCTGCAAAATTTGTTAGTCGATTTGTCAGTCAAATTTTTATGAACAGAAAAAATATGATATGACGAGGCGGTACATAATCTGGAATCAAGTTGAATTGACATGGCTAATTTGGCCGGCATCATAAGTATGATATATACGGTACTGTCAAACATTAGATGAAATATATTTTGAGGTTCAGTAATAAAATTCTACTACTATGCAGCATAAACTTTTAATATATTCCCAGCACACAAAACATACTTTAACACCAGGTGCCAAGTATTTTACCTTATTCTAAAGCATAGATACAAAATTTCAGAAACTAACTAATGAAACTTGAGCTTATTTTAATTGCTTGTTATTAGAACGAGTGTAGATGCCAATATTATGATTATGAATAAATACACGACAGTGTACACACAACTCAAGAACGACATGCACAGATTCCCAGATGGTCTGTTAAACAACTCATAAGAGTAAGAATAATGAATCGGAGACTAATTGCTCACACTATTATTATCAGGTAAAAAAATGCTGCATTCTACCAATGACTGGGAACAGCTTCAAGTAAATATCTTAGGTATTGTAGATAACTGACCTGCTTCTTGCAAGCTGGTCCTGATACTGCACTTTCTGTTTATCTAGGTTGGCCTGCTCTCTGAGCTGCTTTATCCGCTCTTCTGATCTTGTTTTCTCCACTTGAAGCTGTAAGAAATGGACCTTATACCATAAGAGTCTAATTGTCTAATTTTAAAACAATTCTTCATATTTACTAGGGAATTATAAACGGTATACTCTCTAGAGGGACGTCTTGCATTACTTTAAAAAAATAGCAAGAAATTCTCTTAAAAAACAATTGAGGTGTTATAATACATTATTTATTCATATGAATAAAAGCAAATAAATTTAAAAATTGACGACTTTCCATTGATAAACAGCAAAATAGTGATCCAATTTCAGACAAATGCCAATTCAATAGTTTTCCAATGAACTCACCTCCATCTGTCTGGCTTGGACTTCAAATTCTTTGCTCTGTTTAAGTAATTCATTTTGCTTTGTAATTTCTTGCTGTCGAGATAATTCCAGGTAATCCTTGGAATTGGCTAGAAAAAAACAAATAAATAAGATCGCTGTATGTCAACAAAGAAAAAATGCATAAGAGAGACTGGCAGTATAGAGTTTACATGACATATCAATGTTCTTGCAAGCATGCTCAAGTAGGAATTCCATCAACAAATAAATTATCCAGCAACTCGTGTGGCAAAACAAAATTACCAGGAAAATTATCACAGAATATTCATTTTATATCACTAAATTCATTTTCTTAGTTCCCTAAAATGATCACTTACCACTTTTTTCCAGGGCCTTTGCAGCCTCAGCAGCCCTTTCTAAAGCAGATGAGTCAAATCTATAAGCCTCCATGGCACCATCTCTCTTCTTATTGTCATTGCCACCGCCATTGCTGCCGGAAGAACCTCCACCTTCAGTAGGAGGAACAAATTCTGAAAAATTCTCGGGTAGGGGAGGTTTCCGGCCACCCCACAGCCATGACATGGTGATTTAACTGAAAAAGAAGGGTACTTTAGAAACGTTAGCCTTTTTATCTCAGATACATTTATCATCATCAATGCTATTTGTAACTAGTGGCTTGGGGGCTTAGAAGTCCTGTCAGTTTCAACTTTCAACAGGGTTAAATCAGAATGTAGGACCTTGCTGGAACTCAAAAAGGGAGGTAAGGAATGTAGTCCTACAGTAGGACTACATTCCTTACCTCCCTTTTTGAGTTCAATACTATAAGTAGACCTGTAATACATGGTGGAATTCCAGGAAGTAGCTGGTAACTTAGCTCCAGCAGGACAACCAGAGCAATCCACACATGAGGATAGGGGGGGGGGGGTGGGAGCAATTGAAGGGAAGTTAAACAGTGGCAATTGTTAAGGAAATGCCAGCAAATGGAGCACTGCAGTGCGCTTGGCCAGGGCGTCCTTCTTAAGCAGGGCTCCTATTTTAGCCAACGCACTCCTAAATTAAATAGGTACATAGTCCTCTAGCAGGCATTTAGAATGCCACAGTGCAGAAGTTATTGTAGGCTATAGCAATTTAACCCTACAATTTTAATTCTAAACAGTATTGAATGGTTTTTATTGATGAGCGGCAAGTTCAGTAAATTAGCTGCTACCTAAGTGGTATTACTCAGTGGTAAAGCAAAGAGATTTTTAGACTCTTTCTCAAATTCAATTCTGAGTCTTCTAGGTAGACAAGCAAAGTACTATCATGGTCCATTCATGGATACCAGAATTATCATACATAACATATTGGTTTAAATCTTGAGTAGATAAGGAAATTAAAAATGACCTGATTCTGAAGAATCTCTGGTTTGCCACTATCACTATGAGCAGTAACAATGAGGTGTCAGGGGTGACCTGTGCTGCTAAGCTAACTGAGTCAGAGTGCTGTAAATTTTGTACAGCATTGTCATACAGAAGATATATTAAATTATTTTAGGTAGCTATTATATCTTGAGTAATTACTAAAATTAAAACTGAACTGATTCTAAAAATATCTGGTTTGCTACACTATATAGGCCTATATGAGTACAATAAACTGTATCATGGATATTGGATTGGATAGCACATAGCAGCCTTATAATAAAAAAGAAATTGGTTTAAATCTTGAGTAAATGAGGAAATAAGCCTAACTATCAAACTGTGTACTAATTCTATAAAATCTCTGATTTGTCACCTTTTCTGCTGCAAAGTGCCAAAGTGGCCGGGCAAAAAATGAATTGATTCTAAAAAATCTCTGGTTTGTCACTAGGCATTATTTAGTAGGCAACTGAGTGACATTGAATAGGCTAATGTAGGAATTGTAGGCTAGTAATGACTATCATATCAATCATATCACTGACTCAGTGACTGCACTGTCTACAAGGCAACTCTGCTTCTGCTGCTTAAGTGCTTGCCTGCTTGGCACTTGCTGCCTTGCACTTGCACTGTTGCACATAGGTATAGGAGTCCATGGTGGCAATCCATAGGTTATTCAAAAGAACCTGTTCTTATGTCATTTTGAACCGATCAACGCTTCTTTACGGACCGATCGTAAAACACCTTCACCGGCAAAAGCTTTTGCACTTCTGAAGAAAGTCAGCTGACAGCTACACTGGCCGTGGGGCGTGGTGGACCGAATTTGAATTTGAATGCATCCACTTGAAATCCTATCGACCCCCCCCCTGAGCTGGACCGGGCGATGCTCTTGCAAACGCATAAGTACTCACAATAATTCCCTGCCACCATGTATAGGACTCCTACCTAGGCGGCTAGGCCTAACACATTTGCACATTTATTGTGCAAATAGTCAAATATTAATTGAATGCTGAAACGTTATTATTTGCTTAGTTGGTCGAGAATAAATAGGAAGCCTTTTTCTGTTTTTCATAAATAAAGCATTGTAACGCAATGGAAAAAACTGAAAATACAATACCTAAATAATATGCGTTGTGTGAAACGGTTTCAAGTTTCAACAACAACCAGTTTTATCAGCATATTTGCAAGTTGCAACAAATATTGGGCTAATTTAAAATTTAGATGGGAAAATCAACTTTGATATAATCCATACTCACATTAGTAGAAACTAGGTATTATAAATCTAGGAGAAATTTGCGTTGACACCGTGATGTCACGTTTCTGAGCCTTTTCAGCAACACGAACACATGGGTATCGGGTGGGAGCCGATGTGCCGGCTCCAAAGTTTCCGGATGGAATTGTTGTTATGCATAACTTGTGCATTATTTCTTCTCGTATGTGAATTATTTGCGGTCGGATGTATTCGAAAATATTCACGTAAGATTTTTTCGATTCCTGCTAATATAGACAATGAATATTACCCTAGCATTATTAATGCCTGATGATTATTCCCATTACTGTCATATTCATTCGTAGCGATTTTTTTTAAGATTCCGAGAAGAAACCACTGATTAAAATGACTTATAGGGCATATTGATCAAAATATTTATTATACTCAGTTCTATTGCGAAAATCTAAAGTGTAAACTTTTAACATCATAATTTACAAAATGAACAAGTTACGTAACTGTTTCCTCAGTTTCCGAAGCATTGTAAGCGCCACTCAAAGTACAATGACGCAACACAAGTACCGGACTACCGGTAGCTATAGACTGGTTCGACAGAATTTGGACATATGACTAATCACAAATATAAAACAAATTTAAACGTATAGGAATATACTGAACAATTTAAGTCACTTGTTTGCTTAAATAACAATTTAACCATAAATTTAAAAGCAGAGAATAGTCCGCAAAAATTCATTTCTCTATAGAAAACGTTTCAGAGTCCAAACGTTTTGGACTCCGAAACGTTTTCTACAAATATATGAATTTTTGTGCACTATTCTTTGCATTTAAATTTATACTGAATAAAAGGTACACGATTCATAAGGCTTGGCAACTGAACGTAACTTACGTTGGTTTATGAGGCTACGGATACGATGATAAATAAAATATCAAAGGCGGCTACGAGGTAAATGAATTTCAACTATACGTTAGGCCTAGACGCCACTAAACCGCCGAGTCAATGGTTCTGTTGTGATTCAAGAGTTTTTAGATTGAAACGGTATTCTCATACATTTTAATGACTTAATTAGGTACGTTACTTGTGAATCCTAGCCGACGATCTACGTTAAATGGACTAAATGAAAGTAAATGTATGTAAGCCAGTAATGAAAGTAATGTAAGCCAGTTAATCATGGCTAGTCTCAATATCTATACTAAGACCTTCTTTATTCTGGCCTACCCTGCTAAGTGGAAACAAAATTAAACTACTCGAAGTGATTCACAATTGATTGCATTGCCATTACCTTGAAGGTAATATTTAATTTGACTAAAATATCAAACTCGTGATCATAAATCTCTCACGTATGTAACTTAATTAGCTTGAGTTGAACCGCTTCCTTCGGACTCATCGACATTTCTACGGACCCGCCTGCGATAGGTTAAATTAAAAGTTGTACAAGTACGTCCTGCATGGCAAATGCAGTTCATTATTTTGCCTGGCAGTAATGAGTCATCTAAATCAGTATTTATTTACATTTTAGCTCCTGTGCACTTGTTTTTTTTTTTCTCACAATATTCATAGAGTTCAAATCAACATCATTGATACTTTTGAAGTGTAAATAGTCTTTCCAATCTACTATCTATTTATTCTGTCATAGTTTTAAATCATGGTTGAAACATGGGTGTGAACATGTGGGAATGTGTTCCGTTCATACATGGCTAAATTTTCATCAGTAAGGTCATGAGAAGAGTAAGTGAAATAAGGCCATGAGCTGCCTCATATGGTTTCGTTGGGAAAATTATGCCAGCTAATGGCAATAAAGAAACATCGCTGATTTGTGCAATTGAGTCTCCTGTCATCACTTATTGCTGCTGAACCACGCCGAGAACTTATTATATCTTGATAAGTACCAAATGAGCCATTTTAGTAGTATTTTACTATACTATCAAGGACTACTACACTATGTGTAGTAGTCCTTGTATACTATATATTTGCATTCCGGTTACGAAATGTAACCCCGAGCAATTAGTTAGCAAGCATTAGTTCATTTCGAAACGTGTTTCCCGTCATAGTACTTTGATTTTGGAAATCCGAAAATTTTCAATTTATTCTACCGAGCAGCAATGATTTTTGCTATGCTATACGGTTTTTTTTTTTCATTCCAACATGAACCAAACGTTATACATGTCTACCTCTCACGCATATACACCAAACTCTCCAACTTTCAATGAAAACGACGTTTTTATGGTAAGAACTGTATTTCCTTGCGTTAAATTACTATGCAAAATATTGCTTGCTTCAAATCTCACGCGAATGCTCTTGATTCATTTCATAGTTTATTCATTGAATGGTGACGACCAGCACGCTGTTGATGGAAGTCCTTATGTACAAAAATTCCATCAGCAAGTGGGTTGAAGGTAACCCACAGATGCGTCGGTACATTTCTGACAGAAATCCATCTTATGATACAAAACATTTTATCTCCTGTACGCAGAACCAGGATGTACCATCATTTTTTGACACCTAATTACCGCAGTTCCAGCCTGTTCTCGCTGATATCCATAATATCGCTTCCATGATTATAAGAGCGATACAGGTCGGAAGCCTTGGCTTTACAGATAATCAAGACAAGTAACACTAAAATTCGCCTAGTCAAGACGGGTTTAAAATGAAGCGATAGCGAGGAAGAATGGCGTTGATTGGTCGTGGAACAGGTAAACAAGGTTATCAAATCAAGTTTTATTTTAAACATTCAAATCCAGTAATTCTATAAACAAAAATTGCCCTTCGTCATGAAATCAATAATGTAATTATTATGAATGATGCAGTTGCGGATTCCGACGGTGGGACATGAGCGAAGGAAGTAGTTTACACCTGTAGGGGGGCCTCCATAGGCCAACTTTGCATAACCCCAAGGCCAATAACATGGCTCGTCCCATCCAATAGTCCTCAAGCAAATGCGCAAAAACAGGGGCAAAAAAAAATTGAGAAAATCGAAAAGAAAATGTCAAATTCATTTTATATACGCATGCTCTCAGAAACTCGATCCAAAGGATCTGACCATGTCCTATCATGGCGATGAAGAGCAACAGAACGTATATAAATATACAAAAATAGTATCCATAAATAAATGAAAACCCTAAAACAACGATACAAAACAGAGTCATCATGTAAGGCGCTCAACAAACTAGTCGCCGAAGTTCATTAGAACTCTTGAATGAATTGTAAATGATGCAGTAACTTCTCTCGACCTCACTCAGTGTGGAGGCGATTAATGAACGTAGATGGGTTTCTCTCTAACACAGCTAGCTTAGTTGTCCACTTTGAATTCTAATAGCGGTAAAAAATAATCACAGGAATTGAGCTGTCATGAGAAAACAGATTTATTTCACGCATTCACACGAACAATAGCAATCCCTCTCTGCTTAGTTCAAACCTGTCGGTGATCTGGACGTGCCTCGTCACGCAACAGGTTGAAATAAACATTATATAACAAACATTATCGATGAATACTAACATACAAAATAACATTATTGATGTATTTACACTTCAGTCATAAATATTTTTCTTATATGTACAAAACACTAAGGCAATATGTTAAGTATTAACCTATAGGTGTTTTGTTACTTATTGTTCTGATAAAGTTTTTGACAGAGGTTACACATACTCCTTGGCCAGCTTCTTCATCATTGTCGGTCGACTCCCATGCTTGGAAGCTCTCCAGAGACACGAGTAAAGTGGTGTTGGCCGCATCAAACATGCACTCCAAGAGGCCTGCGCGAAGGGAGATACAAATGAAAGGATGGATAAGGCACAACGAGACTAAGATGTTACAGATCAAAATCAAATGACTCGAATGAGAGATGTAGCGAGACATATTTTTGTGGTGGAAGATGAAGGGGCTGAGGGATGAAGAGGCTGAAAGCTGAAGGGGCTGAAAGCAGAAGGGGCTGAAAGCAGAAGGGGCTGAAAGCAGAAGGGGCTGAAAGCAGAAGGGGCTGAAAGCTGAAGGGGCTGAAAGCTGAAGGGGCTGACAGCTGAAGGGGCTGACAGCTGAAGGGGCTGACAGCTGAAGGGGCTGACAGCTGAAGGGGCTGAAAGATGAATGGGTTGAGAGATGAAGGTGCTGAGAGATGAAAAAGAGACTTGCATGGAAGGTATGGGAGCGGAATGAAAGACATCGTAATATTAGCTTTACAAGCACTAATCACTAGTTTGCTAAATAATAAGTTTGCGAAGAATTTAAAAGCAAAGACGATTCGGTGATTTTACTTGAAGTTTTCTTCGGTTTGTAATTATTGTGAATGAGAACTACTTATAATAGAGGAGATCGAGAAAACGACTAATCAGTGAATGGGCAACTAATTAGAGATAGAGAGGGTCCTGAAAACGACAAACCAGTGCGGAAACGCGTCTGAACAATACTAATTAGAATGAATGATTAGGATGCCAAAATAACGAGCAAAGACTAATATAAATACGGGACCGCGAATAAAAATCTTACCTTTAGGAACTCCATTTGCTACCGCGATGGCTTGCATGGCGTAAAGAACGGACAGCTCCACTTGCTGTCTATCGCATTTCTCTTGCTCAATGAACCGTTTCAGGCCCTCAGCACGGTCACAGAGGTTGTCGAAGTCGTCAATCTCAGCAGTGATTTCGGACCCTGCGTGCAGAATGGGAAACAAATGTTTGTAATCTCGTGTGCTAAAAGTGCAATAATGTCTAAAAGAAATAATCAGTGTGCATGGTCTTGACAAACACTTTGAAACCAGAAGCGTCATTATACCCATTACACTACATCCTGTTCCACAGCAAGTTCACCAAAGACTTTGTTAAGAAATGTGGTCCGAAGGTCTAAAACATCCACTACCTAATAAAAACATCGCATTTAAAAAATTAAAACGATAATTGAGCGCCCATGTTTAATATTCACCCATAGAAATAAACACGACAAAGAAAGTTATTAACAAGTATTTCATAATACTTTGACTTAGCATAACTCTGAATTCTGAAAATACTTGGTTATTTTAAGGCTCTGCAACAAATTTATGGAGCTTCAACGTTAAAAATGTACGTTGAATGAGGTAAAGAAGACGACAAAATTTACAACAAACTCGGAATATCAGCACCTGAGGTGTAATGGTGGATTCATACATCTTATGAGATATACCGAAACAAAAAATTCATAATATGAGTTGCAAATTGAAAATATGTTCCGCTTACCTTTCACTAAAGGCATCACGAGATCCGTGACCAGCTTTTTCATGGCAGTGCGATCGTTGATGTTCGCCAAATTCTGCTTCTTGCACCATTGATGGTAGTAATCGCTCATTGACTCATCCTCTGATGTAAGCAGGAAGCTCAAATTCTGCAAATAAGAATTACGAGCTAAATTTTCACGTCATCGATATCAACGACTGGAATGGCGATTTCATTGATATTCACGACGCATGTAGCGCAAGTAAAATTTATAGAAACAATTGACGAAATATATTTCCAACTCAATACTGCAAGTTAAATTCCAACCCAAAAACAAATGTGTATCGTCTCAACTCTATACTAATATGTATTCGTGTGTATTTTAGAGTATGGAATAACAATGAGAGTATGAAAAACAATGAGAACGAAGTTACACTGTTGAAGGCAGGAATTTTCATCAACTTTATATGGATCAACTAAATCTTAACAAGGCAAATTTCAAAGCCTTGCTATGCTGGCAACACATTCATAGGTTTCAGAGAAATATCTATCAACAAAAATTCAACCAATCGTACAGCATATGGTGAGTTTACTAACGTGCCACTTTCGTGGGATCATAATATTTTTATTCAATAGAATCAACTAATGAAAGTGCAAAATCATACTTACGTAGCGATTGAGCTCATCTGAAATGTCATAGGGGCGAGCGTTGCCTTCTACCTTGAAGATCTCTTCCCACTTGAGGTCAGACGTCACCCACAGCCTGAGGGCTTCATCCTCCTGTTCACAAAATAATGCATAAATTAGACAATAAAACCGGCAATCAACTACTTTTCTAGCTCGGGTATAAAGTGGAACATGAAGGAAGACGCAGCGTTCAGTACGGTGACTCTCTTTGACTCCGAGAAGCTGTTAATGATGTAATAAAAAATTCAGGCGGGGTGTTTTTTTTTTCATTCAAGTTGTTTAATTTTCACTAATCTATATGTATTAGTTAAAAAGATGTTGAATGAAATATACGGAGCACTAGTTACGACTTTAGTCGCGCAACGTTAAAAGAACAAGATGTTTGATGGTCTCAGTTGAAATCTAATTCTCTATAGTGGCATTATTCACAACACAATTTTTCGCGGCTTAGTTAACAAATCGAGTTTTCATAATTGGTACTCGTAAGATAATAAGCTCAATTTATAACGAGTAATCGTTTTAAATGATTTTTGAAAAAAATGTTACCGCATATCAACAAACTTAGAACCCAAACAAAATCGATTCAACTCTTATGAAATTCGCGTCGTAACTTACCCTGATGCTGGCAATGTTCATGAGCGTGTGGCAGAAGAACTTGATCTTGAGGTGATCTGCGTCTTGAGCCAGAGTCCAGATGTCCTTTAATTTTAGATGTCCTCTCATTAGGGATGGAGCTGCAATTGAAGATTAAAGTAAGATATTAAAACACAGCATAAACAATCATATAATATCTAACGATGAAAATACGAATCTATCACAATAATTGCTTGGGAAATAAAAAGCAATGCACAGTATTCATGCGAATTACACTAATAAGTACCAGCTATTAAGTCGTGAAGGACTTTCCAATGAACAAGAAACAGTGATAACATTTGTGATGGTTAACTTTTGTCACCGGAGCCAAGTACACCAGCCAAATATTCTTACATGTTATTCAAGATTACATAACTTCCTGATAATTGCAATGAAGCCCATGATATGTTTTGTAATTTTTAGAGTTGCATAGGATTTAAAGCAGCTACTGGGTAATATTTAGTAACTGCATTAAAATAATTTTCGTCGTGTCAAAAGATTAAAAATGGTCGCCAGTTGCTTCCTTACCGATCATGGAGCTAACGTTCTGAGTAACTTGAGGAACGTCTACAGAAATATCGGGCAAGTCCGACATCACCATTTTAGCCCTGAAACAAATTGGTCATCATATTAAATTCATGAAATGTTAAGTACGCAGATAGTGCAGAACCTGAGAATTATAAAAAAATAGAAATCAATAATTCAAAACGGAACTTGTTCATTTATAACAACCATCTCAACGTTACGGAGAAATTAACACATGAGCACAAATTTCACAGCCGTAACAAAACTTACCCTGCTAAGAAGACGGACTCAGTGAGCACTCGCTTGTTGAAGAGCTCTAAGAAGAGCTCGCCTATGGCCTTCCTCTCGCTTGCTTTCTTTTCCGAACAAGCATTCAGAATGACGCTGACGAAGTGCTTCAGGTTCTTAGTTTTGATCTGGTTCTCAATGTTCCATATAACCTCCTGTTAGATCAAAGAGAATAATTTTTGAGACTTTGCTTTGATGTTAGTGAATTTACATCGTAAAGTTCAAACAATGCACAATTCATGGAAATCACTGATATGGCTCAGAAAGCAATGATTCAAATCGATTTAACACTCTTTCCATTTCGCTGAAAATTTTTAAGAATAAGTTATTTGGTAAATTTTTGGTAAAAATTCTTAAGAATAAGTTATTTGGCAAATTTTCAAGCAAAGTTTACCGTCAAATCTTGAACGCCTAAGTACTCCTCGGTGGTGGAGAGAATTTTCTGTCTGATCTCCTCCTCAGGCTCGTCAGAGGGCGGCGACTCGTCTCTGGCAGGCAGGCTGGGTGAGCCGCTGTTTTGATAGCGACCATTGCTGCCCTGGGTCTCGGCTGCAGCCATGGGCTCTCTGCTCAGAGACTTGTTGCGAACATCGCCGCTCTGTGCATACGCGTTGCGGCCCATGTTGTTGCCGCGGTCACCCAGTGATGCTGATGATTAGTAAAACACGTTAAATAAATACAGAATTTGTGATCAAACGTGGTGAGAGAATGCCATTAAAAAATATGATGATCGAGAAAATATTCAGCCACCAGAAGGTACACTCAATCTCAAGAGAATCAGTTATCTAAAATTAAAAACTACGCATCAAGTCGAAAAAAAATAACGGGAGAGAGCGTAGAAAATTGCATTGAATCAACTATTCAATTCACGTATCACGAGCAAGTGAAATAACTGGCGAATTGAAGAAGAATAAAATTCAATGAATCCTTCCTCACCTCCTCTCATTTGCTCTCCCCTAGAATCCCCGTAGCCTCCTCTCGACGCAGCACCGCCATCCTTATCTGATGTGCTGTTCTTGGTGAAGGGATTATTTCTATGTCCCATGTGGCGTGAGTGCATCTCAGGCCCACCCAAATCATCATCTTGAGCGAAAATGCCAAACCTATTGCCGCGTACGGGGTTAGGAGTGTTATTTGCGTTAGTTGTATTGCCGCGAGAAGTGTCTTTGGAACCACTTGCGCCGCCTGAAGCACCTCTACTCCACATGGAGAAACCAGCGCCGCCAGGTCCAAGTCGCTGATTTTCACTTCCACTATCTGAGTTGTTCTGACCCAAACTTCTAATGAAGGGCGTTCGGTTCTTTGTAGGCGCTGAACTGTTCATCACTGTCTTCCAGATCTGCGTGCTCTCCTGGCTGAAACCATCTCTGTGATTGCTCCCGCGGTCGTAGCGTCCGCTTTGGAATTTGCCTTCCGAATGTCGGTTGCCGGAGTTGTGAGAGGACGCCATAGCAATTTGTTTATCTAATTGCTGTTCAACTGACATGTTCTCAAGAACCTGAGCCTTAGTTGTAGGGCCAACTTGTTTTTGAGATCTATGTTTGGCAACAAATCCATTTTCGAACAAATCGATAACATCCAACAACATGAATTTGATGCGGCTTTCTTTGACAACTTGTGAGTGCTTCTTGATGTCACTAATGCAGGTTTTGATGGTATTTTTGCCTTGAGCGTCAACTTGATTCCACAGAACTGCACCGATGGTAATGAAAAGCTTGCACAAGATTTCGGCTTGCTCCGAGCGGTGAATGTCGGCAACTAAATCCTTCAGAAGGGTTAAAATAATTTTAGAACGAAGCAACTCCTGCTTATAAAGCTCTGCCACATACTTAATGAGGCCAACTGACTTGCGACGTGTGACTTCGTCCAAAAGCTCTAATTCCTCTTCTAGGATTTTCTTCTTATCTTCGGCTTCGCACTCGTCTATTTCCTTCAATAGTTTCGCTCGTTGAAGAGCAGTCTTGTCAAGGAATTTCTCTTCGTGTTCCTTCTCCAGTTTAATCTTCTGCTCAGGATCGGTGCACTTTGAAATTCGATCCAAGGACTTTTGAATTTCTTGATTCCGCAGGGCTTCTTCTTTGTGTCTTTTTTCAAACTCATGTTGACATTTTGCAAGGAGAGAATTTCGGAAGGACATTACTTCAGGACTAGAATTTTTTGAATCCGATCTGTTGTCCACTACATATTTACATAACTTTGCATACTCTCCAGCGAAATGTTGCTCAAGAACAGCTTTATCAAAAATTAGATTAACTAATGACTTCATATGTTTACTATTTTTTACAATGGTATCTCTAAACGGATCTTTCAATTTGTCGTAATTTTCCGGGCAGATCTTGTTCATAAGTCCACGCATTGATCTGAGTACTTTCGCTTCATCGTCAACAGAAGCTGATGATTTACTAACAGGAACCCACGCATTATCAGTAGTTTTCAAGTTCATCCTTCCTGCATTTGGTTTGGCGTCGATCACTTTGGGCATCTTTTTGGCACCCCTCATGCTGTTCGATCCGCGATGTATTTGACCTGGATATCCTCCTTTATCGCGGTGGCTTCCTTGATTACGCAAGTAATTTGGAGTAAAATCTGTGTGACCTCCATCTCGATTTGACTGCTGTGAACTGGAACGATTGGTTGTCTTCCTTCTCTGCTCTAATTCTTCGAGAGATACGAGATTTCTGGGAGGTCGCGTGGCATAAGAACGTGCCAGCATCATGAAATTCCGGTCGTACGACTTAGCTCCAGCTTCGTTGTACGGGCTCCACTGGTTGTCTTGATACTCATAAGCAGGAACAGGTACCTCCTCTAACTCATCTTCTGAAACTTCTTCAGCATCTTCCATCTGCTCCACTCTCGCATCAGTGCTTTCTTCTGCCTCGACAACAGTGGTAGACTTCCGTCTAGCTCCTTCGTTCTTACTTTCAGCATCGGCTGAAGGCTCCTCTGTAGCTTGAGTAGGTGATACTGTCTTAACCATACTTTCTTTTTCTTTACCAGTAACTTCTCCATCCACATAAGAACCAGAAACACGCTGCTTGCGGGATTTAGGGTCCTCTGTTGACTTACGATTACCAGTCTCTTTGGCCTCGGATGGCTCTGGCTCAGCCACCCCGTTCATCTCGTGGGTCTTGAACGTAGCGGAAACCTTGCGCTTGTTGGGTTCAGATTTTTCTTTCGGATCAGCGGGTGCTTGGGCATCGTTTGAAGGCTTCTGATTCTTGCTTGCGGTTGAAGGAGCATCGTGACCGACACTAGGAAGTGAGGTAGGGGGCACACTAGGGGCGCTGTCGGCTTCTAACGCTCGAGGTTGATCCACTTGGGAAGATTTCTCTGTAAAATTTGAACATCATTACAAATCAGTAGCAGGAAAACATCTCATGTGACACAGCACTAAATAATTTATAAGAAACATATGTCGACCGTACTTAAACCGCTAATCACAATAAGATGCGAGAGCGATAATGGCCGAAAATACAACGAATTTAAGCCGCAAGTTAAAGATTCAAGCTACACAAGCAAATGAATGCAGAACACGCATTAACTATGTTCGCTAAAAGGAATACCCAATAATAGTTCATGGCGCAAGCGAGGGACATGCCGAGTCGTGCCAAGAATGTCAATTATAGTGGCAAGCACGCAGCGGATCACTAAGAGCCTCTAAATACTGTTATCTAGCTTACAGGTACGATTCATGCTACTTTCTTTGGTATTGAGATGCTACTAAATGATGACGCTATTAGAGAATCAGCCCTAATCAGACGGATTGCGTTCTTTACCTTTTTCAAATTGTTTAGTTATTGCTTATAAAAGAACATATTAAAAAAGACATTAGATGGACTCTGATACGAGCTAGTTACAACCTCAAGACGCTCACATTATAACAATCAAGCTTGATGGTCTGAAATTTAACATACAACAACTCATGCAGATTTTATTTATATATTTAATTTTTGCATTTTTTAATAATATTAGGAAACAGATGAAACAGTTATCTCATTCTTTAGTCATTATAGTGATGATGATAATGACTATTGAGTCCCTACAACCTGAGGGCTTAGAGAACAAGCAAGTTTAAGAAATAAGTGTAGGCAGTATAATTAATTAAGAAATGACTCGACCAGAAAGCAGTAAGCAATTAGATGTAACACGTGACAAGTGACTGATGAGAGCGATGACCGCATCATACCAGACTAGGACGGAGAGAACCAAGATACCGGCAGACGTGAGGGCAAAGACCAGCTATTAACCAAGACCAGACGTATTCATTTTTACCTGCCGCACCAGAATTTGGTCCAGCAAACTTCGTAACACTCGGAAACTGCAAACGATCACAGTAATAAATTTAATATAGTGTTCGATTGATAATCCCGCCTAACGAACCAAAGAATGAACCCAGAGACAGCAGTACCGACTCGACTCTACTCTACCAGTCTGTTTTAATTGACTTCGATTTGCTCGACTGCAACATTGATAAAATGAATCGGTATTATCCTTACGCTGACGAGCACTTTTTAATGTACGACTTTGCACACAATGCAGTATAAGCAGCTAATTAAGGATTTTAAATCGAAATAGAACAAATTCAAGTTATTCCTATCGCGCAGAGAATATTATATTGGCAATATAGCAGATTTCATCATACAAATCAGATGAAAAGCAAAACAATAATTGGTTCTTTCGGCACCCACATTTTATGGACGAAATTCAACCAACAAAAATTGAAATTGTATTGTAGACCTAGAGCGCGCGTGCATCACAAGCCGGGTTTGTTACATCAAGCAGCCATGACATCATGAGCGGTTCTCATAATCAACGGCTTAGCCATCCCTGCCACACACACCACAATCGAAGCGAGTGGAACCATTTCTCTCTGACAATGTCGAGACGGGATTAAGTTTGCATAAATTAATAATTATAAAATACAACACAGAACGCATGGATGGAAAGCTATAAACATTGGTAACCATGACTTGGAATCAAAAACGCCTCGTGAGCTGACTTGTATGAGGCAGGAATAGTAAGACGAAACTGTTGCACATGAGCAGCAACACGAAGGGTCGGCAAGCCAGAACCACGTAGGAAGACTGCCGCCACCCACGACAAACAGGCTACAATGCCAGCAGAGAGAGCTGGTGAACGACACAGAGAGAGAACGAGAGACAAATCCGTACAGTGATAGAGAACGCTGTCACTGTGCCCTTCTTATATGAACAGACGCATGACCTACAATGGTGTACGAGGGAATGCTGCGAGTCGCATGTGAACGGTAAGTATGTGCGGCCAATAAATCGTTTGTACCCATGAATACCACATGAAATGATAGAGTCGAGTCATCCCTTGCATTGATCATCCAGTGCTAGCATGATCAGTGGCGTCACTCTCCCTTCACATATTTATCATCACGTGATATGATAGCAAGCCATTTAAAGTCCACCCCGCATCTGGTGTTGAGTAAGTAGCTATTTTTTTCGATGAAATCTTGGTTTGCAAGAATGCTTTTGAATTACGTTGTACAATTTGTCTAAATTCGCCAATTGCATTCAATTTTAAAGATTTAATTAAAAACAGATCAACTTCACACTACATGACAATCAGAAAGACTGTTCAATCCCGGATATCTGCTCTAAGAAGAGAAATTTACGAGTAAATTTTCCTCTACGATGTAGAGAAATCGCAAGTTAGTCCGTCGGTATGCAAGCTTTGGGCCTCTCACATCGAACTACACGTGGATCAGTGAGGCCGATGTGCAGGGCACTCATGACTAATATTTTCTAGACTAATTGAATGAGCGATGCAAGTTATGTGTCGGAAAAAGTTCGTTAGGAAGTGTTTCCTTAGGAATGGAAAGATTGTTTAATTGCGTAGTTCGATGACCGAAAACTGCCAAACTAAAATCTATGAACACAAATTAGGTAAAAAAAATAAGAAAACATCAGGAAACATTTTCAATGTAATATGCTTGCCAATTATTACGCGTGTGGCTAACACTTGCAGGAGTGTTTTCTCAAATACCTGACTGACTCCTGTGAAGGTTGAGCTAGCGAGCGGCACGACATCCTACACCAATGTGGGGCACGCAATATCTCGTTCGCACTTACTTCTTTTGCCCATCTTGATCTCGTAGAATACTTCAAGTCTGAGGCATATTACACACACCAATCTAAAGATCACTACAAGTTTCCAAAGAAATGGTAATTATTTATGTCCATATGGTTAAGAGTGAGCATTACAACTTTTTTTCAACGTGGTCGTCGGTTGACTAGCACGTCCCAAAATGGAATGTTCCCTACTCAAGACAGACGTCGCAATTGGCACAAAAGCTTTGAGAAACACTATTATATCACAGATGAGGCGGAATCTACTAAATAGAAGACTTATCACAATAGGTGGTGACATAGAGCAACGGTATGCAAGACTAGCGCCAGTTACAGGTTCAGACTGAAAGTAATGGGAGAAAGTGAGCGGCAACGGACGGCCGCTAACACACGGCACCACGAGCACCACAGGCGCACGACTGTCGGCGATGAAGCAGCACCACCGCAAGCTGCGGCAGTGGCAGCAACCTTGTCTAGCCAGCAGCAGCAGGCAGCTTAGAGGTGGGGAACCTGCTACACGAGTGCACTCCAACACCATCACTTCTCACTACCATCATTGCCATGACACGGTTGACACTCTATCGTCAGTCAAACCAGTTGTGCAATATGAAACTATTTAGAATATAAATGAAACTCGACGCAATTTCAAACGAATGATTAATGAAACACTGAGTGTTAAGTGAAACAAGAAGTTTCAGCAGTGAAAGGAAGAGGATAACTCACAGACGCTCGAGTCGTATGGTCGGAAATGCCTGTCTCTTCAGTGGGACACTAGCCTCCGAAAACAGCTGAAAGCTTTCCCATTGATCGCACAATATTTCATTATATCATTAACAACTGATAAAAATGCACACGAACACGAATGGAAACGTTTTTCAGTCGAATACACGAATGCATGCAACACGGAAACTAACCTTAGAATGTTATGCAATAACGCGTTTGTAACGATACAACCAGCCGTGCCACAAAACGCATTAAGTTCACCGTACATGATGTGATACATTGTCTACAAAGGTTAACTTCAAGTGGCCAAAGAAATCAAATGACCATCAAATTTAATCCCATTTCTTGTCTGATCTGAGCCACATGATCAGCTGTGATATCGAGAGGGTGCATGCGTCAAGCCCACAATGATGAAGATACCAAACGACTTCGCGACCTCGAGACCTAAAACGAAAGGTAGCCTGCAAGAACGAGCCTCTGCTTTTTGCTTGCGATGTTCTTGCTATTCAAATAATGATAAATAAATAAACAAGGGCATCACAATAAGTACACAAGTGACTTTTGGTCCAGGAACAAGAGGCCTCATGCGTGTATGAGCAGTTCCACGTATAACACGAAGTGCTCGCTATTCTTCTTGCTGTAAAATCGTCTTTAAGCATTACTATCCTGTCGATTGATCTCAAATTATCAAATAATAAGAAGAATGAAAAAAATATATGTTTATTATTGCTAAACCAGAGCCTATGTCACGATCCCATCAGCTGAAGTTGGTATTGCGATGGAGCATATAAATACGCGAATCGTGGGAGCGACGCAGATGCACTGATAAAAGAGGGAATCCCCGTGATGATTTACGTTTAAATCAGAACTATGTTGAGCGGACGACTCGTTGATTTTCAAGGTAATGGAGTATTTGCTTACAATGCATTTCAGTACAAACGGAACTGAATGTTTACAAGAGTCATATTCCTGAGCAATCGCTGTAACCTTCTAGATAGAGTCATAGGAGGTAGCATGAGAGCGTGTCCAATGAGTTTAGGATCGTAGGCCTAGCCTCTAAGTATTCCCACGAGAGCAAAGAATGTGAAGAACAGCTCGAGAAGTCAGCTAACATATACAAGTAGCATCCCATGCGAACCAAACAGCATTTAGCATATAATTGCAGAGTGTTGGAAGTATGCGTGTTTAAGAGCTTTTTGAGCGGAGAATATTCCTTAGAATATCAGTTCAATAGATTTACGACGTAAATTTTTTAGTAAATAAAGAGGAAGCAAATAAGAAGTTAGACGTGAATATACTTTAGAATGATGTTGATCCCGACATCCATCGCGTTTTTCCTGACGAATTTATACCGTTTATAGCCGCCCTTAGTCAGATTTTTTGCGAATGAAAACGCTGAATAGGAGCACAACGAACTTTTTCTTTGATATATTTGTCCACCATAGTAAAATTAAGATAAGATTTCATGAAATGAAATTAATGTTCAATAATCACAGTATGAAACTCAAGCTTAATTTCACATCCGCACATGATCTTCAACGGGAAACCTGACGGAAAAATAAGATAGTCAAGCGCTAACGAGTGCTAGGATGAGTCAGAGGACAACAAACCAACTAAACCAGCTGCTGGCAGAGCTCAGGCTGCTGCTTTGGCACCGACTCTGAACTCACTTCCTGTCCGCACATAATAGTTCAGCAGCGCGTGACACGGGCGCTTCAGAGAGCACTTCTTCTAAGTGCCTACAGGGGAAGCAATAGTCCACAGAATAATTGGAGAGATAATGTGTACTCTGGCGAGGTGATCTAAGAGGCGCTTCAATGGTTAAATAATAGTTCAATTATAAAGAGAGCGTTAGAATAAGAATATAGCAGAATAAGAAGATGTAGTTTACTAGCAGGTCTAATAATGAATCTTATACATGAGCTCGAGTATAGGTCCCTGAGCAGGCAGAGTAGCAAGAGGACTAGACCAGCCAAATGTGAGAACAAAATGCAGGCAAGCAGATCAGAGTCACCCGACCTTGAATGATAGACGATGCGTCGCAATCGAACTACAGCTCCGATATTAAGATAAACCTAGACAGTTCGATGTACATTAACGTTGACACGTGCACTTTTGATCGGATAATATCACGTTCAGAAAGGCAAAGCCGCGAAAAGTACGTGCGTAAAGACACATATACCCACGACATTCATAGATTACCCGACCAAGTCATGAACAGAGCGCAAGATAAGAGAGTTTCTATCTGTAAAGAGACACTTATGGGCTCCTCTTGCCCAACACTCGACGCCAAGCTACGTGAGGAGAAATGATGAACTACCGTAACAAAAATTACCATGAAACTCATCACAGGAACCACAACAACGAGGCACCACCATCATTTGCCAAAGAGTAAATATTGGAAATCAATTGTAGCCCAATTTCAAATTGCACGCCCTGATAGTATTTAATTTAATTCATCATTCCTTTTCGCCTGCAAATGCTATGAGAATGAGATGTTTTACAATGTTATGGTTCGGTAGTACCGTCTACACTTTTAGTGATTAAAACCATTCGCAAAGACTGAATGCATAAAATATTAACAACAAATGCGAGAGCGATATGTGAACTGTTAGTTATTGCAACGACTTCACAGACCAAATCTACTGGGAAATCAATCGAAAAAGTACGATGCTATGAATCGGTACTCACCCTTAGGAGGCGCAGGTGCCTGCTTCTTCTCCGCTGCCCCAGCGGATGAGGAAGGCTGTTGCTGGGGAGCAGCCGTGACAGGAGCAGAGACCTCAGCAGCAGCAGCATTTACAGGAGTCCCTCCTGCAGCAGGCGGTGTAGGGTGTTGCTGTGCAGCGTCAGTTGACTTCTGCTTATCTCGCTTCTCCTTGCCTTGTTGCTGCTTTGAGTGTTGTTGCTCTTTGGGTTGATGGTCCTTTAATTTATTTTCCTTCGACTGTTGTTCTTTCAACTGCTTTTCTTTTAACTGCTTTTCTTTCAACTGCTGTTCTTTTAACTGTTGTTCTCTTAACTGCTGTTCCTTCAACTGCTGTTCTTTCATCTGTTGTTCTTTCAACTGTTGTTCTTTCAGCTGTTGTTCTTTCATCTGTTGTTCTTTCAACTGCTGTTCTTTCATCTGTTGTTCTTTCATCTGTTGTTCTTTCATCTGCTGTTCTTTCATCTGCTGTTCTTTCATCTGCTGTTCTTTTAAGAGCTGTTCTTTTAATTGCTGTTCTTTCAACTGTTGTTCTTTTAACTGTTGTTCCTTATACTGCTGCTCCTTCATTTGCTGTTGCAAGAATTGTGTCTGTTGCACGACATGAGCTAAATGCTGCTGCTGCTGTTGAGCCTGCATCTCAGCAGAGGGTGCCATGGTAGCTGTAGGCGGTGGCCCCGACACCTGGGGTGGAGGCGAGGTCATAATAACACCTGAAGGAGGGCTCGTTTCCACCCTAGGAGGAGGCAACATAGTCACCATAGCAGCGTTGTTATTCTGGGTTGGCAGAGCATCAGGTTTGTTAGAAGGTTTGCCTTGTCGCATTTCTGGTGGAGCAATACCTGAAGCAGGTTTACTAGGCATGCTCACCATGGGCGGCTGTGTACGGGACATGTTCTGCTGCATATCCTGATGCATGTATTGTCTGGCGGGGTGAATCATGTTTTGGTTGGGGGGCATTTGCATCATGGCGGGCATCAGTGGAGGGCTGTTGATCACTTTGTTGGCTTGTTGCTGTATGACCGCATGAGGCGCCATGTTCATGCCTACTGGGTTCATGAGGGGCATGGCTTGAGGAATAACACCTGCCTGCACAGGGATCTTGTTGTAAGGGGGAGGAGGGGAACTGAAATGGGGTACTGCATGGGGGGGAATGTTGGTTGTGACTGGGGCTGACTCCATCTGGAGAGGTTGCTGTGAAGTTGGAGGCATATGTTGGGGTGGCATTTGCTGCTGAGGAATTACATGAGGAAGCATTTCCCCTTCTAAAATTTTACCCTCAAACTGAGGTGCAAGCTGTTCATTCTTGGCCGGATCTCTGTTTTCAACAGCTTCAACAGTGGCACTGTTGGTTCGACTCCTATTGACAGCAGGGCCAGCTACCTTGGCTATTTCAGCCGCAAACTGAGCACAGGCTGCATTGCGTTCTATTCTCTTAGGAGTGTCGTCAGCCTATAAGAAGATAAACAATTTTTAGGTTTGAGTTCCAAAATGAAAATTAACTTAGAGTAAATTGCAAGTGAATAATTAGGAAACAAACAGATCATGTCTGTAAATGATTAAATAGGCAAAAATAGAATAAAAAATTAGTTAAATTGAACTAATTAAATCTTGAGAGGTAAACATACATGCATCCTTCACCATTGAGGCAACACTAATAATTTTGATATCAAAATTTACCCATCATGTAGCAGCAATTTAGTACAAAATATAATACAAAATTGGAGCATAGACAAATGCATAAAAAGAGTACAACTCACAGGTTGGGGTGTTGTTCTAGCAGACCCATCATTGCTCTGTCCAGCAGGCGGTGTGCTGTTGGCTCCATTCCTCTCATTTGTGGCTGATGAGATGACCACCTTCTCTCCTGTGATTGGGTCGACAATCTCCAGGGGCTTCCTCTCCCTCTTGACAAACTTTGCTGGAGGAATTGGGTTGGCGGGAGCAGCTGTTCCAGCCACAGGGTAGGAGTACACTCCTGTGAAACAACACATCACATGATTCATTCAATGTCCTAATATTAGAAGGCAGCACATAATAATTACATTGGTCATAGCTTAAAAAACAGCTAAGTTTAGCTGGGGAAAGGAATTTTTGTTCTCTCCAAACTGGAATTATTTTCACAGTTGCATACTTTATTGCTTAATTCATTATACATATATATCTTCCCTTGGAGCTTCCTGTTTGTTCTTTGCAAAACAAAAGACCAAAAATGTAACAAACTTACAAAAAAAATACAGGAACAATTTAGCATATTTTGGGAGGCATAACAAAAAAACATGTATTGATTCAGATTTTTTTTCAGCATTTAAATATTTATGGTAAATGGGGCAACACATGAGATGATGAGCACATCTTATCTACGAGTTTGCTTTTTAATTTGTTCCATCTTGATCTGGGGCCATGCTTTCAAAATTCGCTAAGTGAACATAAGTACTTACACTCCATTTTCTTGTCTATCATTGGTTGATTTTGCTTGAAAGGCCGTCAATGATTGGCTGATGAACTTACGATCTCTCAACTTTTTCTGAAAGTATAGGCCCTGTGCTAAGAAAAATCTTTCACCTGCTGCATGAGGATTGACCATTTGTCCTCGGGGAACAGCGGAGACGTGCTGGTTAGAATACTGGTGTATGTAGGGGTAGCCAGCATGTTGGCCTTGTGGAAGCCCATACTGTAGGCAAAAAATAAGAACTGTGAACAATTGAAGTGATACCTATTATAATGGGTGACTGAGAGCTGTAGAGAAATACTGAGCTTACATTGAACTTGAGAACATGGTTGATATAATTATGCAAGATGAATGAACAGATATGAATGACAATTGACAATGATAAAGAATATTTAAAAAAATTGAACAAACAAAAAGTAATTTTAATACCAGTAACAGTTAAACAAAATGGTAGAAAAAGAAATTAATTCATTTTATTGCCAAAGAAGAGTAAATTTAAACTGAAGCACATAGCACATATCTAATCAAGAAACTGAAAATTTTAAATATAAATTGAAAGCTTAATATTGTCTAATTATTGGGTTGAAATATTATTGGATAATGTGGATATACGTAGATGTTTCAATAATGATTGAATTATCACCTAACAATTTATTGCTAAGGAGTAATTAATTAATTACTATAGTAGAAGTAATTACTTGCAACAGTTATATTTCAAATTCATAAAAAAATGAAAGTAAAAGATAAAAAATGATTAAAATGTCTGGTAACAAATGACAATGTAATTGCTATAGTTAATTTCAAAATTATTTAACAAAATAATCCACAATAGTACTAATAATAGTATTCTATATTCATTTTGAATTTATACTTGAATAAAGATGAACTGATCAACTTGTGTCTATCACTTAGAATAAACATGTACTTTCACAGGAAGTAAGCAACAGTAGGCAATTAACACAACAATAATATTTTTAAAGGCTTAATGCTAACATCCAAGCAATACAGCTATGTATAATTTCCATATTATAATATAATTTGTATAAAACTATTCATAACTGATATGCTACCATACTTTAATGAGAAACTTTTACAGCTTATATACATGAAGAGCTTAATGCACAAAAATATTTAAAAGTTCAGTATTAATACAAATTATATAGTATATATAAAGTATAAACTATGCTCACACAACATTCAAATAACAATATATTACAGAAGATGTGTATAATTTGCCCTGAAGAAATCTAGCAATCCCAGAAAGCAGAAAAACCCCTGGCACAGCTTCGAGCTTGGATACTTGCCCCCACCTGCCTACACAAGTCAAGTAACATAGATACACTAAAGATGGAACTGGATAGAGAAATTAAAAGAATTACAGCAATCCCTTGATTAGCACGGTTTTGAATACCGCGGTTTTGATTAACGTGGAAAAAAAATTTGCAACCTACCCTTAATCTACGCGGTGCCAGTTTTGATTAGCGCGACTTTTTTTTCACAACGCATCATTTTCCCGCCTCTAGCCAGAGGTGTTACGTTTGTAACAAAAGTGTTACTTTTTGCTTATTAGATCTTATGTTGTTACTTCTGTTACGACTTTTGGAAAAATTTGCCAAATGTTGTTACTTTATGAATTTCAGCCAATAATTCTTTAAATAAGGTCCCGTTCTGTAGGCACTCGTGCTGACTACAGAGTCAGTTTAACCGCGCCTTGTCTCGTTCATAACTCAAATGGTCGAGTTCGGCAACGTTCGCCGGTAAGTGCGCCATGCCGGTGCTCTAGTTACTTGTTAGCCTTCAACTGGTCAAGATCGCTGCCATATCTACTGCTCATTTTTATCAAACTACATAATTTTCCTTGATAAATTACCGTCATAATTATGGACAAAAAGGGAATGCTTAAACGTAAAAATATCACTTTGGAGACTAAGCTTGAAATAATTAAGCGTTTTGATAATGGTGAAACGAAAACGAAGATCGGTGAAGACCTAGGGTTTCCCGAGTCAACAATACGCACAATTTTGAAAAAATCGTCCGAGTATCAAGAGAAAGGCAAAATTGCTTCTATGTCGTCAAGCGTGCAATGCACTAGAAATAGGACTCCTATAATGATCGAAATGGAGGATTTGCTTTTTATTTGGTTAGCAGACTGCAATCAAAAGCGCATACCTATAGATGGGAACAACAATATGATGAATTTTAGTGGAAAAAAAAAATTATTATGTAACTTTGCTATCTTTGAGGATTCATTATAATTATTCCCATATATTCTTAAGTTTGATTAGTGCGGTTTTGCTTAACACGGTAAAACTTGGGGATTTATTAACCGCGTTAATCAAGGGATTGCTGTACTACACTTCTAATCTTGGATTAGAAGACCTGTAATCAATTTTTTCTTGTGGCCATTGATGTTTGATCTCCTAATCTGCTTTGGGATCTCATTCTGCCTGAAACTGTACCTTCCTTTCATAACTCAGTTCATTTTGTTCGAATCAAGAGAGTGATGAGGCTGGATTGCTAGCAATAATACAAATTAATATTTTTAAAACTACACACTACTACTAAGCAATGCATAGGATGCTAAACTTAATCTTGCATGAGCTAAATTAATTAGAAAATAATGGCAACATTAAGTCTTGTACTATAATATACCAGCCATAATGCATCTGTTAGATTGAAAAATAATTGATTTAATTTATATAAACTTTTAAGGCCCCTTGGAAGGTCACAGTAGGCATAGTCACTTGAGAAAACTACCAAAAAGATCAAGTCAACAACCAAGGCCTATGTTTTGCATTAGAGTTAACAATGCCTTTCTCTTGACTAAATTTAACTCAGATAGAGAGTAAATGTGTAAATATTAATTACATGATAAGAATTAGCATATGACTGCATCTATCACATTTTTCAATAGCAATTTATTCCTTTAATATAAAAAACAGCCAGAAAGTTAATCTTACAACTGTTCATACCCTCTTATAGTTATACTGGTTACAATTTCAATTTCTACATATTTCTATGCTTGCCTGTGATATGTTCTAGTCAATACCCTTATTCTTAGACTAGACATCAGATAATGATGATATTCAACACTAGGCTTTAATAGCAAATATTCAACTTATCAACCAATATACATAGTTACATACATTAGCATTACTTACATTTGCAATTTGGATTAAGCAGACCAGACAATATATATTTTATTTCATTGGCTGATAGTCAGATGACATGTACTATAAATAATATTAATAATAAATCACATAAAGCCACATGAATAATTTGCAGGAGTAGGCTAAGAAGTAAGTAACAAATATTAAAGTTAACAAATAGGTAGGACAGCATATTAAACATCAACAAAAACAAAATTATCAATATTCATGCAAAGACAGTTGTAAACAAATGCATCATATCATGCCAATGAGAATTAAATTAATTGATTGTGCTTGCGCAATGTGTAGGCTAGATAGGTAACTTACAAGAGCCTGAGGAGGTATCATGTAGCCGCCGTGAGTTTGAATAACATGATGATGTGAAGGCGCAGTAGGCTGGCCAAATCCATTATTATAACCATTGGTATACATGCTAGTATCTAATGAAACACAACACACAATTCCGATAAGCAAGAATAATTTACAGCGCTAGCAACAGTCTTCGCCATATGGTTTCAAGTGCTCACGTGGAGCATGCAGCTACCTCACCGATGGCGGGCTTCACTTCACACGACAACCACTTTCACAACTATTACGAAACGCACGATATGAATTTCGTATTTTTAATATCGACTGAATGAATACACATCAGTTCAAAACGTTGAGTATACTAATACTGTTGTATTATTTAATTAATAAATAAAAAGAGCTATCTGGCCACGAGTATTCTGTGTGTGCACGGTGCTCACTGACGTTAGAGTGAGTCTGCCGATGCTCGCTAGAGGCCGCCACTCGCAGGGCTAACACCTCCTCTCCCCCGCATCACTCCCTAGTTTCTCAATAGATGGCAGCAGCACCCACACTCTCCCCCCACCCTCGACTACCTCTCTCTCAACTAGAACCTATCGCTGCTTACAGCGGCCATCTCCTTCTCATCTACCATGATAGTGCTTCTAAGATCTACTGACCTAACACGTGTTTTGCTGTTTATTGAGATAGAGTTACAGATATCAGCTATCATGTATCAAAATTATCGAGTTTGTACAATTCAATAACATGGAGTTGAAAAAATGTTGCATTTATGACCTTTGGAACTTGTGGTTATGATTCGTCGTGGATGATAATAACTGCTCCACAAATCAATAACAATTAGGTCCTAATAAACTATTTCCTAAACAAATTTACTCAACTAAAACTCTATTAACGTGTGAAATTCTAAACATAACATCATCTCAACAAAACTAATAATGCGGATCGACCATAATGCATTCTCTTTGGGTCTTTGCACTCTGATTAATATTTGAATATATGACATATAGATAGAAAATAAATAGGCATGAAGAGCATTGGTGTAATTCGGCAGAAGTTTTTCTTTTATGCAAGTTTGATTAGATAATAGGAAGATTATCAATAAAAAACATGCTCTGGTTTTCACTCAAACTTGCATAGAAGATACAAATATCTACCATGCAGACATATGGAAAATTAGTATTCGTTTCAAAAAATTATACACTGAAAATGAGTGAATTCAATAATACTGCATTTTTCCACTCAACTAGAACATCTAAGATAACTATCAGAGATGCAACGTTAAACTAAGAAATGCAGCGTTAAACTAAGAGCACTTGTGATCGCAGAGAGACAGTCCGAAACCGTGGGCGAAAAACACAACACTGACGATCATTTCACAGGCCTGGAGAAAAATCAACCACGTGTGCATGTGAACAAACCCCTCCCTCTTCACCACAATCACTCCTCCCAACCAGAACCACCACACCCCTCCCCCCTTGCTGTACGTATCTATATGATGGACCGTCTCGCACCGCCCCTCCTTCCCAAGTCTGCTGCACCCATGACGTCACGAGCGTGACGTCATAGCTTCCAGCCAGCCACTCAAGCACTGCAAGCGCATGTGACGTCATACGCTAACAACGCTATTTTAGATTTAACACAAGAGTGCTGAAGTCTAGAAGATTCTACCAGCATAGTATGGACACTCAGGCAGACTAATAACTCAAGCAGCAGCCTGGAACCGCGACGTCATAGGCAGTACAATCCATGTATTTCCCCCGTATAATCTCGATGCAGATGTATGATCCAGAAAATTATTTGGTCCGAGCTACTTTCATATGAAATTTAATTCCATACAATTTAACTTTCAAGCAGTTACATACAAAATAAATGCTGAAAACTGAAAACCCACAGGGCGACAGGGGGCATGCGATAGAAAACTCAACACGTGATTTAATCATTAATTTTGATTAATGATTGATGATGATGCTAATTAATTATTTATCGTTAATTGTTACTGTTAGTTATTTAATTCGGTAATCTTCATTGACATTAAATGAAGTGATTCTGCTTTTGTTATCATCCGAGTAGGATATCAACTGATATTGATGAAATTTGCACGCAGCCTAGCAGATACCAACATCTGCACGCAGCTTAGCGAGTCCAATTTATTTCAGTAAAATTAATTCCTAATTAAGGGCACACGTACTGACTGGCTAATTTATTGAATGCAATGCTTTGAAACTTTTCGTCATAGATCCGATTATTCTAAACTAGAGCTTGTAATTGTAAAATAAGAGTTATTCAATATTCCAAGATAAGCTACTATAGGGTCAGTTATTATTATTCAGGAGTGATATGAAACCTAAAGAGGCATTTGAGAACTAATATGCGAATTTGATCCGAGCATGTAACTCGTACGAAATAACAGAGCAAATTCGCAGTCATAAGAGAATGAGCTACAATTTAAATAAGTCTGATTTTCAATGACTAAATCAATCCGATATTGATTCCACGTGTAGGGCAATAAATTCTAAGCGACATGATACATTTCACGTCTCATAGCGACACTGTAGGTCACGAGTAGAGAAGAATGCGTCATTCTGAGTAGAGGAAAAAAGTACAGGGGACAGACAAGTGAGCGAACCATGTCCTTCCGTTCGCTCCAAGGCGGGCTAGGCCTAACCCGGCGATAGTGCGCATGAGGATCCTTCCAGACTTGTGATTGGTCCGCACGAGATGGCTAAAAGACAATCCATACTTCATTCACATCCTCAGTAAATGCCTTGGCCAAAATTTAAGGTGCAAGTGAAACATTTTGAGAATAAAATAGCAGAAATAGCAGACAGCACTTGTTCATACGACTCTAGAGCGAAATATGCGGCTTTCACGATCTGGCTGAAAGACAATCCACATTTAATTGACATCTTTTTCGAATGCCTGCGTTAAAATGCATCTGTCGGTGATCCATATTCTGGGTAGAACAGTCAGCATTTGAGCATGAGACACTTAAGAATTTTTATTATTATATATTAAACCTTGATGATGCTTTGACACTTGATGCGAAGAAAGTTATAAGTGATTCGCGGATCCTTCAATTTTGTAGTACCTACATTCACAAAATCGAAATCCCGTCTAGGTATATGGAATTCAGAAATTGCTTGATGTTATTAGAATACTGAAATTAAGCTGTTTATTACTATACAAAGACGACTTTGGTCTGGAATTCTCGCTAAATTTACTTCTGATAAGATCAGCAGCAGACATTAAGAAACCAATTTTTACACCAAGTAAATTTCTAGCAAAACGTGAGATGAGCCTTTACGAGGATCGTCTCAATATGAATAATAAACGTGTTGCTTGAATTTAGTGTACGCTTAACCAAAGTTTAGTGGACGCGCAACCAACAGATCCGTATGCTCTGAACCTATCGAACCTACCGTTGACAAATGTTTAAATTATGCATCAAAGCAACTCATAGCGAACAAACTCAGCATCCAAATCATCAGTTTACGGTGGCTATGCCTTGTAATATTCAGTACAACCTGCCACTTCTGCCTTGAAGTTCGAAATAAATTCGACAGAATAAACACTACAAGTGAACTCTTCATACTTAAAAGTAACAGTAACACTATTATATTACAATAACAGTAACAATATTATATTATAGTAACAGTAACAATATTATAATTAAAGAAACAAGACTTGAAAAACCGAGTATCATATGGTACAAACTACAAACTATAAGATAGATACCAAAATAATGAGAGTATGAAACCTCGACCTTTTTACAAGTAAGTTACTCTGAACACATAAAAATAATTAAGATAACATGCGACATATTATTATGAAGCTAACATTACAAAATATTAAACCATAAAGAAACAAACCACAAACCTTCATACGTTAGTAAAACAACACGAGTGTATTGTACTCACGGTCATGAATATTGGGTTGGGGGCGGTTGGCAAGTAGAACGGCTGTGTCTGTGACCAGAAAACGGGTAAATCAATCTTCAGTTTTAAGTTATTTTAAACATCGATTATACGAGTCTTCATACAAGAAGTATACAGGAAAAATTTAATTCCTTCACTTTTTCCATAGTGAGCCTTTATACCAGCAATAACCTGGAGACGGAAGTTTTTGATTTTAATCAATTGACTTTCATCGGAAGATCGCTAATTAATCATGATATTTATTCGTTTACGTTCGAGTTGTATGGAAGGAAGAGACAAATCAAGCATATGACGTTAAAATAATGTTGATTAAACGTTGAAACTAACTCTTAATAAACTATTTGTAAAGTTAATTTGCCTGGAGTGAATATTTTCGACTGAGTACATTATTTTCACGAAGAAGTGTATTCATTTATTATATCATTCATACCAAATGAAAGCAGTTGTAAGCGCTCTCTCTAACTTTCAGATTATTTTTCAACTTACCCGCTGAGTGTGCATTTCTTGCATATTGGGAGGCTGGCCAGGAACAGTTCGTTGTTGTCCCGCTGCGAAAGCGTAGATGTTCTGCGGCAGACAGGAAGTTCGTTTACTTATCAACATGTGATAACTCCCCTCCACCTCTATATAACGTCGTCACAAGCAAAAAGTATCAATTTTTGTTCAAGTTGATTGATCACGTTAGAAATAGCGCATAACTATAAATGATATTAAATAAATTGAATGATAACAGGGAGTTGTTCTCACCTGATGGTTGGCAGGGTGAGAATTAGACCCGAAAACAGGAGGGCCCTGCATGCTTGTGCCGGTAACTGTTGAGTCAATGGAAAACATAACAGTGGCCTATAAAATATGAATATATCAACATACTAACAGCAATAAAACCGAATGTTTCGCCGTTTCAGTTGCCCTTGAACAAAATAAAAATAATACTAATCAACGAAGAAGCATTTTCTTCCAATTCCTCAAAATGGCAACAAATCCAAATTGTTTGCAGTAGCAATGCATTCACATCTATAAATATTTTAAATATATCACAATCGAGAAGAATCATCCTACTTAATACATCAAGAATTAATCTTTAATAGTTCTCATGAGCTACAGAGACAAACTTATAGTTCCTACTTTCATCAAGTCAGACGAGCGACACGAAGCTAAACTCTATGTTCGTATGCTGTGAATGTCATTTAATAATTCCAGCTATACCATACTTCAATATCGAAATAATTTCCCGTAAAAATTACGATTAATTCTTTCATAATTACCAGCAACAGGTGCTGCCAAGACTCCAGCAGAGCTCAGTGGTTGTGGATGTTGTTGTTGTTGCTGCTGTTGGTGCCCCTGCTGCATCTGGTTGTTCTGGTCGTGGCCTGGGGCCGGGCTCTGGTTGGGGGGCGCCCCGGACGGACCAACGTTGGTGACACCAGGAGTGCCACTCGGTGGCACTCCGTTGTTGTTGTTACCGAGCCCTGGTCCTGAGTTGCCTACGTTCATGCCCGTCATGTTCTGCTGCTCACACATCGTAAAATTACTCTATTTAGTGTAAATTGTATAGTAATAACTGTGGGATTTAGAAGCTATACATTAATTCAAGCTCTACATTTATTCAGTTATTCAGACCCTACACAAGTAGTATTATAGCTCGTGCAAAATGGGTGGATACAAAAACTAAAAATCGGCGACTACATTTTTGAGGCAAAATGTGCGAATGTAGAGCGTTAAACAATTCGAAAACCCGCAAGTCAAATATAAAAACTATACCGTATGTAATCTGCTAAAAAAGACTTATAATAATATTAATAAAACGGCCAGAATGTTGCTTAGTTACCTGCTGCAATACAATCTGATTAAAAATAACGACTTATAATAATATAAATAAAAAGGCCAGAATGGTTCTCAGTTACCTGCTGCATGTGCATTTGCATGGCAGCAGCGTTGGTGATAAGCTGGTGCTGGGAGTCGAACACAAAAATTATATATAATCAGACTAAAAAAAGACTGACGAGATTAATAAAACGGCCCCTCGTATTAATGGTGCTCAGTTACCTGCTGCACGGCAATCTGATTAAAAATAACGACTTATAATAATATTAATAAACCGGCCACAATGGTTCTCAGTTACCAGCTGCATGTGCATTTGCATGGCAGCAGCGTTGGTGATGAGCTGGTGCTGGGAGTCGAACACAAAAATTATATATAATCAGACTAAAAAAACGTATGATATTAATAAACCGGCCAGAATGGTTCTCAGTTACCTGCTGCATGTGCATTTGCATGGCAGCAGCGTTGGTGATGAGCTGGTGCTGGGAGTGCGCCGGCATGTTGTTCTGCTGCGGCGGTCCCCCAGCCTGGGGCCGCATCTGGTAGCTCAGCGCTGCAGCGACCGTCGCTTTAACAACAGGGTACTGCTGTTGTTGCTGTTGTTGTTGATGATGCTGTTGCTGCTGCGGCTGTTGTTGCTGCTGCTGCTGCTCCTGTTGTTGTTGGGGTTGGGGTTGATGGGCGATGAACGGCACCCCCCGGTTCATGCCGGCACCCACGTTACCACCGTATACTGCATCTGTCCAGACAAAAATAATAACCGAATAAAAATAATTCATACTTTAAATAATAACTTGCAATGAAGACAGCGAGAAAGTAGTTCTCTGTAAAGCAACAAAGAGAACCAGAAAGTTTATTATCAACCATCGCCACTGAAAAACGAGTAAGATCAAAACTCAAGAAACCTGCGGGAAAAAAGTCATAAAATCGGTCACGTTGAAAGGAGCTACATTGTTAACTATTTCGATCTTCATATCAATTGTTGATCTCCTTGTAAACATGATCAAAATATGCTCATGTAACAGTTCTCGTTACATACATATACTTTGCTCGCCTCAAGTCAATTCATCAAGCAACCAATAAGATTACTGAAAAACCTTAGTCACATAAGGCCTCAACCAAGACGTGCAAAAAAAAGCTTCGCTGCAAATCCGTTGAATACCTGGACACTAACGACCATTTATAATTTATACAATAATTATATACGCTACATTTTTCTAGCAAAGGCATTGCCCATCTTGGAACTCATTTCACGCTTCCTTTCTATTAAAAACGGACCAAATGTTCCCACTAAATTGTGAAAATACGAAGCTACATGAGAAACGTATACGACTGTAAGCATTATCGAACTGGAAGCTTGTTTGCAAATCAAAGAAATTTTACTATCGCAGGCAAGCACAGGCTATTATGTCCACGCTTCTTAATCTTTGACTTTCCAATACAGATACTGATCAGAAGAAGCGGATGGTCGGTAATGGGAAGAGAGATAAAATGCTTATAATATCGGTTTATATCAGACTTTGAAAGGGAGACACAATGTTGATAAAAGCGCATTATTTCAGACTTAGGACATGTACATTAAGTGACATGTATATTAAGTCTGAAATAAGACATTTAGTAGACATTAAGTAACATGTACATAAAGGACACTTGAAGAGTACTTAAGCTTTGCATTAGCCTACTCAAGTCACAATTTTCACAATAAAAGCAAGTACTTGTATTCTCTACATCCTTGAAGTGATGATGGAGCCGGTCTGCGAAACGTTTTCGATGAAGATAAAATTAAGTTAATCGGCGTTTTCGTGGCTTTTAAATTCTTGATCTAATAAGAGACAATATGAAATTTTATTATGATCGAAATAAACAAAGGTATATTTCTTCATGCCTAACAGATTCAAACAAGTAAAAACTAGCCAAGCTATCATGATATATAAAATAAATATATCTCTTAAACAAAAATCCTCAAATGGAGAGGTTGGATTAACGTCACATATAAATAGCGTCTCCATTACTTACAGAAACAAATAATGTACCAGTTTATAAAGAAATTTATCTGTAGTAAAGCTTTTCGTAACAGACCTTTACTGTAAAAGCACACGAATATTTGTCCTATTATTATTAATTATTACGGTGTATGAGGGCGGCTATAGACGCGACAACCAATGGTTGGGCGAGAGGCATAGGATGGCGAAGGGTGAGAGAGGCACAGGGTGAGAGAGGCACAGGGTGAGAGAGGCACAGGGTGAGAGAGGCACAGGGTGAGAGAGGCACAGGGTGAGAGAGGCACAGGGTGAGAGAGAGGCACGGGGTGAGAGAGAGGCACAGGGTGAGAGGCACAGGGTGAGAGAGGCACAGGATGAGAGAGGCACAGGGTGAGAGAGGCACAGGGTGAGAGAGGCACAGGGTGAGAGAGGCACAGGGTGAGAGAGGCACAGGATGGGAGAGGCACAGGGTGAGAGAGAGGCACAGGGTGAGAGAGGCACAGGGTGAGAGAGAGGCACGGGGTGAGAGAGAGGCACAGGGTGAGAGAGGCACAGGGTGAGAGAGGCACAGGGTGTGAGAGAGGCACAGGGTGAGAGAGAGGCACAGGGTGAGAGAGGCACAGGGTGAGAGAGAGGCACGGGGTGAGAGAGAGGCACAGGGTGAGAGAGGCACAGGGTGAGAGAG